TTCTGGACCTTGGTTTAGCATCTGATATGAAGGACAGGAACTCCTATTTCAAACAGTCCTCAGTCGCGTAACTGGAGCATTGGTTTAGAAATCCTTGACCAGAGTGGAAAGTGGCCCCTACCGATCCACCAGCTGCACTTGTAGCAGGAGCCTGGTTATTATTTGGTTGCGTCTCATCACAGTACTGACCAGGTATTGCTGGCTTAGCTTCTAAGATCTAACAAGATCAAGCTAGAACGCAGTGCCCTCTGGTCATTCAGTTACCGACAAAACAGGTGGGGAAAAATGCTATTCATGGAAGTATATAGCAAAACAAAAAGGTCCCCAGTAGTCCTGAAGACTTTCTATGGTCTCATTTTAACATTCTAGCTCTAACACAGTGCACTTAGAGATTGTTACACGTATGAAATGATTTGAGCTGCCCTGTCAGAGGTACCAATGACAAAGTGAACCTATTAGCAATATTTCTCAATGCGTGGGTGCTTATTATTTTATATTTCAAGACGTTTCAGTTAGGGAGGATTTCTTTTTTGTGATTGCTGTCATTAAGAATAATTGAGGTTTTCGTCTAAGCACTGCTAGTGTCCCAAGGCTGGGATAGGCTAAATTTTACTGCCCACTCAATATTATGCTGTATGTACTTAGATACATCATCTTTCTTAGTAACCAGCTTGTACTTTCAACATCAAATGTGTCTCCTGTGCATGTTGGGATACACCTGTTCATTCACATTTCCTGGGTTTCAATTCATCTCGAAGTATTGTGTCTGATTCTTTTCACCTAACTAAAATGTGAGGTTTGGGGGCATCCTTTTTTTTTCCCCTGTAGGTACAAAAATGACATTTCATAAACCATTCCTTGGTGAATTCCATACAAAAATAAAATCCCGTCTGGATTTCTTTTATTGTTTCCTGAGGCTGCTCTGGTTGTGAAGATGCTTCTTCTCCCATGTTGCAGACATGCCGGTGCAGGAGTGCAGGGCCCGGACTTCCTAAACCATCCCAACCAGACGAGCTGTTGTGCCACTGGCTCCACTAGGCATATTACAATTATAAACAGCCATTTGTTTCAGTGAACTGAAAATCCCCTCCAGTTTTTTTTTCTGGGTATTAATCTCTATGAGTTACTCCATTCAGATATTCTAGTGGGGTGCTGAGTAGCAGCTGACTCATTATCTTTTCATTTACTGCAAACGGTTGACATTTCTGCCTCACATGCTTGGCGTGAGTTGTTCTGTTGGTACTTCATGCTAAACAACACTGTAAAGCTTGTTCTCATAGAATATGTTTTTAATGTATAGTATTTTGTTGCAACTCAGGCAGTCCGGGCTGCATTTTCCTTGTCGGATCATTGCTCTATAAATAATTTTTGTATGTCATTATGACTACAATTTAGTCTCAAGTGTAGTTGATTTTCTAAACAGTCAATCCTTAGATAGTACTTTCAGAAATTTCAATGAAGTAGGGAGAGAACCGTATAAACGTTTGTTACCTTTAGTGCTACCAAGCTCGGAGCCATTAAGAGTGGATTGATGCATCACCACTGTATACCTGTCTTCAGACTCTACATTATTTAACTATATATCCTTCAGTAGCTCGGTAACTAAATCAGATTTAAGTCAAACAAACTGAAATACCACCTATTTCAAAATGCTCAGTAATTAATACCACATTCTCTGGTAACGGTTACACAGAAATTCTGAGCCATGACTTGAAAGTTGCTGTCCATCAATGATCCCCATTAAGTTGTCAGAGCTTGAGCCAGGTTGCAAACAAGAATGGGCCAAAATCTCACTTTCCCAGTGTGCAAAGTTGGTAGTGATTTGGCCAAAATGTCTTGCAGCTATAATAGCTGTCTAAGCTACTTACAGTAAATATTGACTCCAGGGGGTGAATACAAGCAACAGGGTTATTGCTGACATCCAACATCGTTCACCCAATATGGATTCAGTTTGAACTTTCAATTTTTTTTTCAAAATATTTGTGTAAAAATGTGTATGCGTCATTCGCAATTAATCAAAGGCGAAATCAGCAGGAGTCCAGTAATATCCCCGTTTGATGATTTGTACTTTTGACATTTTTACTTTTTTATTTTCGTGATACTTTTGAGAGACACTGCATATGTAAATATTCATATGCACAGTACTTATCATGCTGCAGACCCTAGTGTGCACTGTTGGGTGAGCTAGTTTACAAAAAAAGTAATCCTCTGCCTGGTCTGCTGTGGAGGTAGGCTGCTGGTCATCACCCAGATGGGGCAGCTCCAAGCTGGGGCAACACGTTTGCCCCTTCCCGTAAGAAAAGTGCTTTGGGATCCTTTGGAATGAAATAGAGCAAGCCTAGATGGGACTGGTCACTGGTGTATTTTATGCTTGAGTTTTGGAAATCACTTTTGTCTATCTCTGCTGTAAAAAAAGTATCTATTTCTGCTTTCTCTTGTCGATTGTGCTTTTCATGAAGTCATCTGGCTCTTCGGCATGGTACTGATCTTGTTTTGGTATAGACCTGTGGTTCACTACTGCTGCTCCAGAATCTCCCTCTGGGCAGTGGCCTCCTGGCCAAGAGGGCCTCCACAGCAGCAGAACCACATCAGTAGAACAGAATTTAATGATACTCCTCCTTTAGGACAGCTGAGATTTACAAGCACTGTGGCTTCCCCTCGGCCAGCAAGATCACCGCATACAATGAAAAATGGCATGTGGAAGAGTGTGCTCCGTGCTTTTCATTCCTTCACGTGGCCTTTGCAGAGGAGATGTGGACCTCTGTGCCATAGCGGTGCAGTTCGTGCGAGTCCAAATGCAGACAAGCATGTGTTCCTTTATCATCTTCTTCAGGCCACTGACCTGCTTACGTGGGCCCTGACAGCGGTCATGCTGGGCAGCTCTGGTCTAAAGATTTCAGACTGATCTGTTCTGTTGTGCTACTGTACATTACAGTCTGTTAGGTCTATAGGGAAGACCCCAATTTAGCAGCAGTTTCCTCTGGATTAAAATGACATCAATTACTGCTCTTTTCACATCCCTCCTGCTGTAGTGTTTACATAGAACAAGGAGTGATGGGGAAAAATGTTTTCTTACCTGTCATACTGCTCCAATTACTACAGCAATTGGAGTGGTTGGGTTTCTTTTTTACCTAGAAAGTACACAAATTATAGGTATCCAGAGAGCTGCCTGCCCGTCCTGCTTCAGGCCTGGTCAGTGTTAAGGCTGTTACAGGTCTGCAGTGATGATCAGTCTGAAGGCTGGACAAGCTCTTCTCTACATCTGTTGTGCTTTAATGGAAAGTCTCTTCAGAACATGTCCAGGAATTAAATTTGGTTACTTAATTCACGCATAGGAGACAACATTTATATTTTTTATATTTTTTCAAAATACTGAACAATGGAATCATTATGGTGTATTAAAAATACCGAAATAGGGCTTTTGAGCTCTAATAGCTGGAGCTTTTGAAGACTTGATCATAGGTTTGTGCTGAAAACATGAACCATTTTACTGTTTTACTTTTGTTTCACCTGTAGTTTTAACTTCAGCTTCTTTTTTTATCCACAGTAACCACTGTCCAAATCAAGTTAAATCAGTGTTAGATGGGAAACTTATGAAATTACACTTTGTGAATGATAATTTGTGTGTGAAATGATCTGTACCTATATTACTTGTTCCTTTGCAGACTACACATGCTGACGCAGCTACCCACCAGAACTACTCTAAATATGAGGCTTACTGAGGTCTTAAGATGTTATATTTGTCTTAATCATGTGTGTTGTGTAACACGAATAGTGACAAGAAAATGAACAAGTGGTCATCTGTTTCAAGTTCTTTAGACAAGCTCCGTTTTTGCAACTTATCTGTTGAATTTATATCAGTTTAGTTTATCTGTCTTATGCAATGAAAGTGCAATGAAATGTGTATTTGCAAGTATGCTCCAATACAAAGACATTAAACACAGAACAGCAGCAGCAACGACAACAAAGTTACATAACAAATGTCTGCACAAACTGTGTGCAAAAAATATGGTTTTGCCCTAACAGAGAAAACTCTATTATTTATCTGAGTCATTTGTTTTCATAGTATGACATCTTTAATTCTGAAAACTCTTTATGTTCCTTATTTCCTTTACATGAGCTGCACTATAATCTTACATGTAGGGAGACCAATTAAAAAAGCCTCATTGTAACCTTAATAAAACCGCAATTAAAACGATACTTCATGTATTATACCATCCTTCCATTTTCTTTATTTACTATACATATAATAAATAAAAATAATACATATCATCCATCCATTTTCTAGCCACTTCTTCCAATTCAAGGTCACGGAGAAGACAGTCTATCCCAGCAAGCACTGGGCACAAGGCAGTGTACACCCTGGATGGGACGCCAGTCCATCACAGAGCACACACAGATGCAAACAAAGTCACACCAGGGGCAATTTCCCAGAAGTCAATTAACCTACCAGTGTGGACTGTAGGAGGGAACCTATGCGGACCCAGGGAGAACATGCAGACTCCACACAGACAGCACCCAGGGCCCCACTGCTGTGAAATAGCAATGCTAACCACTGCACCACCTTGCCTCCTCTCAACACACGAGTGTTGTATCAAATACTTTTTGCACAATACGATTGTGACAGCAGGATCATGCTTTTTTTATTGGTTTTGAATAGGGATACTCTTTTTAATGAAAACCGTCAACTTGTAAAAGATATTTTTTCAGCCTAATCATTCTTAGAAAATATTGATTTACTGTATGCATAGTCTGAATTGTGCCATCAAACACAAGTTCATTTTTTTGGTTAAAGTAAAGAGCTTATTTGGTTTACTTACTGTACTTAGAGAACAGTAAGATCTTTGCGTTGTGCAGTTATTTAACAATTCTCAAACTGTGTTTGAATGACAGCAATTTACCGCTTCAAGAAAGAAAATCTTATTTGGGAAAATGTTCTGAAAATGCTTCAGCTGTATGTTTGTTATTCATTCTGACTTTAATTTGTTTCCCTTTTTTAGATACTGATCCTCGAGTTTTAGAAAAACAGGAGTTGCAGCAGCCAACATATATCGCCCTTAGTTACATTAACAGGTGAGCAGTTTTCATTATTCTAATGTCCTGCTTTGTTCCTTCATCACACACTGGCAAGAGCGCTGTAGAATTAACATTTCCAGGTTTGTTTCTGTTGTCATAACATAGCCATGCAAGTCTTCTGGTGTTAAACATTCAGACAGTTTAACACACTGTGAAGAAACGTGTGTATAATTTACCATCACACTCAGATCTGCTTTCCTGGAGCGTTTCAGTCTTGGAAATGGCAATGATAACTGAATGTGAATCTGTTTGTATTTTAAGAGGCATACATTTACATATAGCATTTTGTCTAGATAGCAGTTTCCACAATATTAAAGCAAAAACAATTTTCAGAGACTATTTGCTGGTTAAGATTTTCCTTTTTACAACGAACCATCGATTTATTCAGCATTCAGCACAAGAATGTCCCTGTTTAGGAGATAATCAAAATGCTGAGAGAAAATCGAAAAAACCTTTTTCTTCTTCTGGGTTGGTTTTGCTGTGTGGATGGATTTGCGTTCGCTATGAAGAAGTCAGCAGGCCCTGAGGCCTTTGTCCGCTGTTTCCACACAGTGATGGTGTTCGGGGGTGGAGCACATGTGCAGACCACACTCGCACACAGTCCGCCTCACATTGTGTGTGTGTTTGTAACCAGATGCTGGGCTGAAGCCATGGAGACCTAGCAGCACTGTGTGGTACGATAACACTGTCATTTTTAAAAGGTGATTGGTAACTGTTATTTGTGTAGTTTAAATGAAATTTAAAGGTGTAAAGGAAAACTTCACCACTCTGAATTATATGGGCTTCTACACTGTGGTGAAAGGCATTATGTTCCTAAGCACCTGGAGCCCAAGAACACCATAAAACATCTGCATGGAGCTGCCACAGGTTCACTGGGAAGCCTTTTAACGCAAACCTCTAATTATAACTTTTACTGTATGGGATAATTTTTACAGCATGTTATTAATGCGTGGCTTGATTTTAAAAGTAACATCTAAGGGTCTTTTACAGGACGGGTAAGGTGTTATTGTTCTTTGCTGTTGATGTTGGGGGACGGGAGCACGCGTATCAGCGTTAACGTCAAACACGAGGCAGTTTTCTACGTTGATCCTGTTGACGTGTTTTGTCATTCCTTTCCCACCAACTGAGCCCTTCCAGACCAATTCCAGGGCTGCAGAGATTTTAAGGGTGTCATTAAGTGAAATGTAACATGAAAAATTATACATCTTTCTAGTTGGTCTAAGGCCGATTTCAGTATGAAACCGTTAGCCATAGGAAGCTTTTTGTATGAAAATGTTTTACTTTGGCAAAGCAAGAGTGTTTGTAGTATGGCACAAACTACATTTTTCTGCCTTGAAGCAATAATGTTTGAGCTCCTTTAAAAAAAGTGGAGGTTCTCACTGAAGTTTGAGAATGAAGGCTAACTGCAGACGAGTGTAGATCCGGGAAGTGAACCCTCTTCCCCAGGACTCCACCCTTTTCTCCCCAAGGTGGTCTGTCTTCACACAAGAGATGTTTATGGTTGAATTTGCCTCCTTGGCTCTTTCCACCCACTGGTGGGGGGTTTATAGCCTTTACAGCCAGGCTGTCGCTGGAAAGCCAAGACATTCTCTCAAAGTGCTCACCTGCTGAGCTGCTCTAAGATTAGTGCACAGTTAGTGCATTGAAATGCTCACTGCACTGAGGCAAAGCTCGGGCTGACCAGGATGTCCTTCCCTCTGTAGTGACAGCAGCAGAGGAGCCAAGGAGCACGAGTCAGAGCCTGCATGAAGTAGGGGTGCGGTGTTAGTTGGAGGCTACCAAGAATGGGGTCTGACAGTGCACTCATGTTAGTTTGAACTGCTAGAAGAAAATAAAGCTTTGAGTGAATAGTTTTTTTTCTCCGTGTTTGATGTTGTTCTGTCGTGGTTGTGGCCAGTAGAGTTGATTGTTTTATTCACGTCATTCACACTTTGACATCTGAGCTCGCATGGAAATGTGTGTTTCTGGGTTACTGAGAGGGGTAATTTAGGAGAGTAGCACACTTACAGTACTTGTAAAACTTACAATATGTTTGTAATTTTAAGGGGGTTTATGGAATATATAAAATTTGAAGCGTTTCATTCCCTGCTCTTGCTTGTCAGTAGAAGTAGTTTTGAGAAAGTGTTCCGATTAAAACAACGACCTTTAGAGTTGTTGTACTGTATTAATGGGGAAGCAGATGTTCAGCACTTATGTTTGAAACTAGAAGGCTGTGTAGCTGTGGCTTTTTTTACCACACACAAGTTACATGTGCAGCATTCGGTTACTGAGCCAGGGGCTGCAGAAGAGCATGTAAGGACACTTTTTAGAATGGAAATAGACTTGCAAGCCAGCCCTTAATGAGCTGTTTCTGCTGTGCACACCTTGAAGTGTGGCAAGTGAGGAGGTTCAGAATTCAGTTTTGTGTAAATCTGTCCCTCTTCCTGATCGAAAATAAGACCCTAAAACATTTTCAGATTTCAGAATTGCCTTCATTTAGGGGCACAGGTATAACGTATTCTCACTGGGTAATAAAATACAGCCACATTGGATTTGTTTATACCTGATGAAGATGAGTCTGGAAACTGTTAATTCAATAAATTGTGAGTTTAGAGTAAAGAGTATGCTATAGTACAGTATGTGCCCTGTTTTTTTATGTCATGCAATACTGTAATTTTGTGTTATTATGTTTTTTCAAAATATTCATTATTCAGTAGTATTGCTACTGTTGAAAACTGAGCCCTACTTATGATATCTGTGACACACAGATTGACTTGGCATGTATATCAAAACCTTGTCAGCGAACTGGCCATGTCTTTCAGGCCAGATGGGCCATTGTGTTGTTTAAATACCACTCAGATGAGTCTTAACTTCAGCAGAAGTGATGCAGGACAGAAGGCTTGGAAGAGGACAACATACCTGTACTCACAGGAAAAATAAAAGTCGGAATTAACTATCCACAAGGTGTTCTGCATTTTGAATGAAAAGGCTATCACTGAAATAAAATGTGTCTTGCAGTTATTGAATTATATTTACACTTAAATCACATTTCAGTGAAGGCGTCGGGTATTCCTCTGGCAATCAAAGAGGGTGCATTACTTATTTATGAGTAATGTCATGTTGACTTATGTGCCTACCCTTTTAAAAATGTCTTGGGCTGTCAGGCCTGCTTGATATTAGCATTCTTCCAGCGTATGGGCTGTATGTGCAGTAAAATCTGAAACCATCACTGGTGGCTATGAAACACAAGTGCACAAGCTGTATAACACACAGGATTTTTTCAATTTGAATGTTAATCCATTTAAAAAATATATTTTGTGTTCATTTTCTTGTAATATTCTGACAAAGCTGCCCGTTGACTCTAATATCAGTGATAGTTCTGCTCCCTTTTAATTGCTTTAAATATCCTGGAATATGTAACACTTTGAATAACAATTCAGGAGCCTTTGTGTTTTTTTTTAAATGCTTTAGGGGGGGCCTGTGCTTGTATCCACTTCTCTAAAACAAAATCTACAATTTTAAATGAAAGAAGAATCCTGAGGTCCTTTGTGTCTTTGTGTCCTTTGACAAGGGCAGAAGCACTTGTCCAGAGCTATTGGTAAAATCATTACACTTGTGTACCTTCTTCTCCTATCAGTTTACAGGATGTCATGTGTCCATAGATGGTAGTATCCCACACTGATTAAAGCTGTTATAGCTTATAGCTATGCACTAAATTCGAAAAACATTTAAGGTTACAGATTAGAGCAGGCCTCATGTGGCCCTTATGCTCAGTAGATTGGTAGTAGCTTGCAGATGTGGCTCTCTGGTTTGTAAAAAATTATTTCAGTCTTCCATTCTGAATCAGCCAAATCAGACACTTCTGTAAAGAGCCAGAATGCTGCCAGATGCAGATTGGCAGGACCTTTTTAATTAGATCAGATGTCACACTGCTACAAACGGGCTACTTCCAGAGGAACGGCTGAGCCTTTCTGTATTATATACCTGTTAACGCACAGTTTTATGTGACAGTACATCCGTAGCACACAGGCCACAGCCCCTCCTGCACCCCGGACAGCCTGGGTCTCTTCACAAACGGCACGGCCTGCCGGTTTCCATTGAATTTTTATTCGCTTTTTCCCAATGGACAAAGAAAGACTAAGATGAGACTGGTGGGTGCGCAGGTGTGAAGTGTTTGCCTCACCATTGGCCCAATTTCTTGGACATTCGTGTAAGATGTCTTCAAGAAATCTGTTTGCATTTGTTGCTTATATTTTGTTCCCTGACCAGTATTAGGACTATTTTTAAGGGGTCAAATTTAGACCCGGACTAGTTCTTGGGGTCTGTGGCAGATGGCAGACCCTGCGCTCTGACCCCCCGCTTCTCTCCCTGTCTGTGTGTCTGTGTCTCCATGGAGAAAAGCTGGGGTATGCAAAAAGACAAATTCCTAATGCAAGAAATTGTACAGGGCTAATAAAGAAACATTATAACATTATATTATACATTACAATAACTCAAGGCTTTTCTGCATGTGAGAAGGCACGTGGTTTGCTCAGCTATGGGCTGCCATGTTGCGGAAAGTGATTAGCTGTAGATTTGCAGGCAGATTAGCTGTGTTCAGTGTGGTGTCATTGTGCCAGAGGTGCTGCCTTAGAAGAGCAGAGGGAAGTGAGTGTGAGGAATGATGTGGAATGATAGATGGTGCTGTAAATCCAGGGTTTATGAGGTGCAACAGAAAGGTCATGGAAAATAAATATTTCTGATTGCTGGCAGTAATTGTAAGGGGAAAAGGGGGAACCTTTCAGGAATGAACCAACAACCAGCTTTTCAAGGGACAGATATGCAGAGGTGCAGAATTCTGGAAATTGTTACTGTGATACAGACAGCTTCTTGTATTATGAATTGATTTACACTCTAGGGGAGAATAGGCAAACCTGGAATACAGGTCACATGCCGAAAGTTGTTAGTTCGTACATTTAAGAGCAGAATGTGAAGATGTTTGTTCTCTTTGCGATGATAACATAATTACAGCAGAAATT